GCCTGGCACCTACTACCATACCCCGTTCACAGGCTCTTAAATATTTTGTCTTGCCCATTCACCCTCTGAATGGCACACACACACACAATCCATGTCTCAATTGTCTCAAAGCTTAAACATCTTTATTTATCCTGTCTCCTCCCCATCATCCCTGGTCCTATCACTCCTAGAGTGCTGTCCAGTTATATGGTCATCTGCAGCAAAGAAAGATCTAGAAAAGCTCAAAATCGCTCAAAACAGGGCTGCCAGATTAGCTCTTCATTGCTCTATCCATATGAATATTATCCAAATGCATCAGAATCTCTCATGGCTTCACGTTGAAAATAAATTACTATCCAGTCTTCTGATTTTCTTTATGAATGTTATATATATTTTTTAAAACACAGTATTTTTCAGACCAGTTAGTACATACTAGCAACACGCATTACCACCAAACAAGACAGGTAAATCGCCTTAAATCTACAGTTTTATATAGAGACATAGCTGAATGGAACTCTTTACCAATCCATATTTCTCAGGCAAAAAAGTAAATCCACCTTCAAGAAAAAACTAAAAGAACATCTAATGAGGTAGACCATGTGACAGGAAATAGAAATCATCAACTGAATGTTAAATGTGTTACCTATCAGGTATTTTAATTGTCTGTATTGTCTACTTGTTAAATGTTTGTAAAGTCTTGTGTATAATGTCTTATTAATTGGTGTTGCACCCCAGGAAGATTAGCTAACGTTATGGCGTTAGCCAATGGTCCTCTGTAGCTCAGCTGGTAGAGCACGTGCTTGTAACACCAAGGTAGTGGGTTCGATCCCCGGGACCACACGTACACACCAAAAAAAATGTATGCACGCATGACTATAAGTCGCTTTGGATAAAAGCGTCTGCTAAATGGCATATTATATTATTATTATTATCCTAATAAAAATGCACAAATTCACAAATTCATCTACACTGATTGAAGTGGATTTAACAAGTGATATCAATAAGGGACCATAGCTTTCGCCTGGATTCACCTGGTCAGTCTACGTCATGGAAAGAGCAGGTGTTCTTAATGTTTTGTACACTCAGTGTACAACTGGAAAGTTTTTTGATTGCCTGAAAAATATCAGTAATTGTGTGATGGTGGGGACGCAGGGCTGTGTTCCGAACAAAAAAACGACAAGTCTGCTTGCTTCAGTTCCTCAATAGCAGAGCTAGGAGAGCTAACTAAAAAAACGAAAAAATAAGTCACTTCATTGAGTCATAAAAGTGCATTAAAATTACACAGGCATTATGTTACTGAATGCATCCAAAGTATTTTCAGATTTCGTTGTTGACAAATGTTGTGAAAAGTACAGTAAATGTAAAATGCACATAAAATCAACAGTGTAATGTTTGGATTCAGTCTTGTGTCAGGTGAACAGTTGTGTCCTCACCTTTGGTCTGATAATATCCCCATAATGTGTTTTCTTTCAATTGCTACCACGGTCATGCATAGGCTTTGAATAGTTCTTCTGTTAAGAACATTTACATTTGGCCCTATCCATATAGGTCAATTTCCACAAGTGTAAGGACGAGTGTACGGGGTTAACAGTAACCGAGCCTAAACCCCAAAAGAGCAAGCAATGCAGAAAGAAAAGCACATTGGAAAAACTCCCTAAAAGGAAGGAACCTAGGAAACAGACAGTAAAGTACAATCTCATCTCACCTCCACCCTGCTGCTGCTTGTACAGGTGGTGCTCTACCATGAACTGTAACTCTGAAGGGAGGGAGGGAGGGAGGGAGGGAGAGAAGGAGGGAGGGAGAGAGGGAGGGAGGGAGGGAGGGAGGGAGGGAGGGAGGGAGGGAGGGAGGGAGAATATACGATTACAGGTGTCATAGTTATAGTACATGCCATTATGAACTCAACATCTTCACCATCTCGCTGTAAGTGCATAACATACCCAGATATTAAGACACAGAGCCGAAACAAACTGGTTAGATAGGTGAAGAGCATAACCAGTGCTTTTATCCAGCCATCATTAGCTCTAATGAACCAACACAACCTTCTTAAGAACGCTCATTACAGTTGAAGCCGCTCGCAATGAGTGACTCACCCAGTGTTATGGTGTGTGGGCGATGACTATACCTTGGTCTCTCTTGGACAAATGATCAATGAAACTAACAATACAGTCTTAGAAAAACGGTTTCAGAAAGGATTATTCTGCAGAAGGAGAAGGGTATTTTGGTTCCAGTTTTTATCTTAAAGGAGCCTGTCTGAAATGACATTATGGTGATGCACACTTGATGTGTCACCTTCTCTACATTTCTAAGCTACAGTGAGGGAAAAAAGTATTTGATCCCCTGCTGATTTTGTACGTTTGCCCACTGACAAAGACATGATCAGTCTATAATTTGAATGGTAGGTTTATTTGAACAGTGAGAGACAGAATAACAACAACAAAAATAAAAAAAAACGCATGTCAATAATGTTATAAATTGATTTCCATTTTAATGAGGGAAATAAGTATTTGACCCTTCTGCAAAACATGACTTAGTACTTGGTGGCAAAACCCTTCTTGGCAATCACAGAGGTCAGACGTTTCTTGTAGTTGGACACCAGGTTTGCATACATCTCAGGAGGGATTTTGTTCCACTCCTCTTTGCAGATCTTCTCCAAGTCATTAAGGTTTCGAGGCTGACATTTGGCAACTCGAACCTTCAGCTCCCTCCACAGATTTTCTATGGGATTAAGGTCTGGAGACTGGCTAGGCCACTCCAGGATCTTAATGTGCTTCTTCTTGAGCCACTCCTTTGTTGCCTTGGCCGTGTGTTTTGGGTCATTGTCATGCTGGAATACACATCCACGACCCATTTTCAATGCCCTGGCTGAGGGAAGGAGGTTCTCACCCAAGATTTGACGGTACATGGCCCCGACCATCGTCCCTTTGATGCGGTGAAGTTGTCCTGTCCCCTTAGCAGAAAAACACCCCCAAAGCATAATGTTTCCACCTCCATGTTTGATGGTGGGGATGGTGTTCTTGGGGTCATAGGCAACATTCCTCCTCCTCCAAACACGGCGAGTTGAGTTGATGCCAAAGAGCTTGATTTTGGTCTCATCTGAACACAACACTTTCACCCAGTTCTCTTCTGAATCATTCAGATATTCATTGGCAAACTTCAGACGGCCCTGTATATATGCTTTCTTGAGCAGGGGGACCTTGCGGGTGCTGCAGGATTTCAGTCCTTCACGGCGTAGTGTGTTACCAATTGTTTTATTGGTGACTATGGTCCCAGCTGCCTTGAGATCATTGACAAGATCCTCCCGTGTAGTTCTGGGCTGATTCCTCATCGTTCTCATGATCATTGCAACTCCACAATGTGAGATCTTGCATGGAGCCCCAGGCCGAGGGAGATTGACAGTTCTTTTGTGTTTCTTCCATTTGCGAATAATCACACCAACTGTTGTCACCTTCTCACCAAGCTGCTTGGCGATGGTCTTGTAGCCCATTCCAGCCTTGTGTAGGTCTACAATCTTGTCCCTGACATCCTTGGAGAGCTCTTTGGTCTTGGCCATGGTGGAGAGTTTGGAATCTGATTGATTGATTGCTTCTGTGGAAAGGTGTCTTTTATACAGGTAACAAACTGAGATTAGGAGCACTCCCTTTAAGAGTGTGCTCCTAATCTCAGCTCATTACCTGTATAAAAGACACCTGGGAGCCAGAAATCTTTCTGATTGAGAGGGGGGTCAAATACTTATTTCCCTCATTAAAATGCAAATCAATTTATAACATTTTTGACAGCGTTTTTCTGGATTTTGTTGTTCTTATTCTGTCTCTCACTGTTCAAATAAACCTACCATTAAAATTATAGACTGATCATTTCTTTGTCAGTGGGCAAACGTACAAAATCAGCAGGGGATCAAATACTTTTTTCCCTCACTGTATATGTTGTTACCTTTCATGGTGGGCGTGCCTCTTGCTCCTTTCCTCCTCTGCCTGGGAGAGTTCAACAAGGCTGCCTGTCAACAGAGATCAATAAGTTGAGCCATGTAGTCAGATGATATTCATTTGCTATCCAATGGTTTATTTAATTATTATTATTTTTATTACGGTACCCGGTATTCCCAGGCGGTCTCCCATCCCAGTACTAACCGGGCCACAAGCTTATTTATTCAGCTTATTTATTCCGTTTTCTCCCTGAATTAGGTCCCTTGGCTCATCTCTGCTACTCCTCAACGGGCTCGGGAGAGGCGAAGGTCGAGTCATGCGTCCTCCGAAACATGACCCGCCTGTTTCTTGTCACACTGCTCGCTTAACCAGGATGTCATCCGCACCAATGTGTCGGAGGAAACACTGTTTGACTGACAACCGGAATCAGCTTGCAGGCGCCCGACCCCGTCACAGGGAGTTGCTAGAGCACGATGAGCCAAGGAAAGCCCCACCGGACAAACCCTCCCCTACCGGTCACAGCCGGTTGTTACACAGCCTGGGATCCAACCCCAGGCTGTAGTGGCACCTCAGCTCTGCGATGCAGTGCTTTTGACCGCTGCACCACCAATGGTTTCTAGTTACTAATGATTTCTCCATGAATACATTCCATAGGAAGGACACAGTTGATTACCTTGTATAACTGGTTTGGAAAGACGGTCTTCGTCGATTTCTGTATAGCAGGAAAATGCTTGTTCCGTATATATCCTTGCTGCCGACTACGTCTGTGATTCTTATGTCCTATAGCTCTGCGGACTAAGCCTGTTGTGATTCCTAGATAAGTCTAAACTCAACACAGCCAGTTATTCTAACTCTGCCAACACAGACTTGTTCCAGTATATAGTCCTATAGCTCTGCCAGACTACAGCTGTGTTCCAGTATATAGTCCTATAGCTCTGCCAGACTACAGCTGTGTTCCAGTTATAGTCCTATAACTCTGCCAGACTACAGCTGTGTTCCAGTATATAGTCCTATAACTCTGCCAGACTACAGCTGTGTTCCAGTATATAGTCCTATAACTCTACCAGACTACAGCTGTGTTCCAGTCATATAGTCTATACTCTGCCAGACTACAGCTGTGTTCCAGTATATAGTCCTATAACTCTGCCAGACTACAGCTGTGTTCCAGTATATAGTCCTATAACTCTGCCAGACTACAGCTGTGTTCCAGTATATAGTCCTATAGCTCTGCCACACTACAGCTGTGTTCCAGTATATAGTCCTATAGCTCTGCCAGACTACAGCTGTGTTCCAGTATATAGTCCTATAACTCTGCCAGACTACAGCTGTGTTCCAGTATATAGTCCTATAGCTCTGCCAGACTACAGCTGTGTTCCAGTATATAGTCCTATAACTCTGCCAGACTACAGCTGTGTTCCAGTATATAGTCCTATAGCTCTGCCACACTACAGCTGTGTTCCAGTATATAGTCCTATAACTCTGCCAGACTACAGCTGTGTTCCAGTATATAGTCCTATAACTCTGCCAGACTACAGCTGTGTTCCAGTATATAGTCCTATAACTCTGCCAGACTACAGCTGTGTTCCAGTATATAGTCCTATAACTCTGCCAGACTACAGCTGTGTTCCAGTATATAGTCCTATAACTCTGCCAGACTACAGCTATGTTCCAGTATATAGTCCTATAGCTCTGCCAGACTACAGCTGTGTTCCAGTATATAGTCTTATAACTCTGCCAGACAACAGCTGTGTTCCAGTATATAGTCCTATAGCTCTGCCAGACTACAGCTGTGTTCCAGTATATAGTCCTATAACTCTGCCAGACCTACAGCTGTGTTCCAGTATATAGTCCTATAGCTCTGCCAGACTACAGCTGTGTTCCAGTATATAGTCCTATAGCTCTGCCACACTACAGCTGTGTTCCAGTATATAGTCCTATAGATCTGCCAGACTACAGCTGTATTCCAGTATATAGTCCTATAACTCTGCCAGACTACAGCTGTGTTCCAGTATATAGTCCTATAACTCTGCCAGACTACAGCTGTGTTCCAGTATATAGTCCTATAACTCTGCCAGACTACAGCTGTGTTCCAGTATATAGTCCTATAGCTCTGCCAGACTACAGCTGTGTCCAGTATATAGTCCTATAGCTCTGGCCAGACTACAGCTGTGTTCCAGTATATAGTCTTATAACTCTGCCAGAACTACAGCTGTGTTCCAGTATATAGTCCTATAACTCTGCCAGACTACAGCTGTGTTCCAGTATATAGTCCTATAACTCCTACCAGACTACAGCTGTGTTCCAGTATATAGTCCTATAAACTCTGCCAGACTACAGCTGTGTTCCAGTATATAGTCCTATAGCTCTGCCAGACTACAGCTGTGTTCCAGTATATAGTCCTATAACTCTGCAGACTACAGCTGTGTTCCAGTATAGTCCTATAGCTCTTCCAGACTACAGCTGTTTCCAGTATATAGTCCTATAACTCTGCCAGACTACAGCTGTGTTCCAGTATATAGTCCCTATAGCTCTGCCAACTACAGCTGTGTTTCCCAGTATATATTCCCTATACTCGCCGACCCTACAGCTGTGTTCCAGTATTAGTCTATCGATCTGCCAGACTACAGTGTATTCCAGTATATAGTCCTATAACTCTGCCAGCACTACAGCTGTGTTTCCAGTATATAGGTCCTATAACTCTGCCAGACTACAGCTGTGTTTCCGTATATAGTCCATAAACTCTGCCAGGACTACAGCTGTGTTCCAGTATATAGTCCTATAGCTCTGCCAGACTACAGCTGTGTTCCAGTATATAGTCCTATAACTCTACCACACTACAGCTGTGTTCCAGTATATAGTCTATAACTCTGCCAGGAACTACAGCTGTGTTCCAGTATATAGTCCTATAGCTCTGCAGACTACAGCTTGTGTTCAGTATATAGTCCTATAACTCTACAGACTACAGCTGTGTTCCAGTATATAGTCCTATAACTCTCCCAGACTACAGCTGTGTTCCAGTATATAGCTATAGCTCTGCCACACTACAGCTGTGTTCCAGTATATAGTCCTATAACTCTACCAGACTACAGCTGTGTTCCAGTATATAGTCCTATAACTCTGCCAGACTACAGCTGTGTTCCAGTATATAGTCCTATAACTCTGCCAGACTACAGCTGTGTTCCAGTATATAGTCCTATAACTCTGCCAGACTACAGCTTGTGTTCCAGTATATAGTCCTATAGCTCTGCCACACTACAGCTGTGTTTCCAGTTTTAGTCCTATAACTCTACCAGACTACAGCTGTGTTCCAGTATATAGTCCTATAACTCTGCCAGACTACAGCTGTGTTCCAGTATATAGTCCTATAACTCTGCCCAGGACTACAGCTGTGTTCCAGTATATAGTCCTATAGCTCTGCCAGACTACAGCTGTGTTCCAGTATATAGTCCTATAACTCTGCCAGACTACAGCTGTGTTCCAGTATATAGTCCAATAGCTCTGCCAGACTACAGCTGTGTTCCAGTATATAGTCCTATAACTCTGCCAGACTACAGCTGTGTTCCAGTATATAGTCCTATAGCTCTGACAGACTACAGCTGTGTTCCAGTATATAGTCCTATAACTCTGCCAGACTACAGCTGTATTCCAGTATATAGTCCTATAACTCTGCCAGACTACAGCTGTGTTCCAGTATATAGTCCTATAGCTCTGCCAGACTACAGCTGTGTTCCAGTATATAGTCCTATAACTCTGCCAGACTACAGCTGTGTTCCAGTATATAGTCCTATAACTCTGCCAGACTACAGCTGTGTTCCAGTATATAGTCCTATAACTCTGCCAGACTACAGCTGTGTTCCAGTATATAGTCCTATAGCTCTGCCAGACTACAGCTGTGTTCCAGTATATAGTCCTATAACTCTGCCAGACTACAGCTGTGTTCCAGTATATAGTCCTATAACTCTACCAGACTACAGCTGTGTTCCAGTATATAGTCCTATAACTCTGCCAGACTACAGCTGTGTTCCAGTATATAGTCCTATAACTCTGCCAGACTACAGCTGTGTTCCAGTATATAGTCCTATAACTCTGCCAGACTACAGCTGTGTTCCAGTATATAGTCCTATAACTCTGCCAGACTACAGCTGTGTTCCAGTATATAGTCCTATAGCTCTGCCAGACTACAGCTGTGTGGCCCATGTTCCCAGACCTCAGACAGAGAGGGACTAGAAGATGTATGGTTCTCAAGGTGACCTTGAGCCGGTCAGATCAGCTGGTGTAACGATCCCTCAGACCTCCGTTTACGTCAGCAGCACAAGTTCCACTGGACAGGGCTAACATTAACATCAACACAACACTAATGACTGGAAGACCATGCGTCATAACTGCAGACCTGGGTTCTCGTACTCTTTGAAATAATAAAAAATACTTAATCTGGGCTTGATTGAGTTTGCAAGGCACAATGAACCAATACTACAGTAACAAAAGTGCAAACCCTGCCCATCTTGCAGTTGAAACATCTCAAATAGGATTTGAACCCAGGTCTGCATAACTGGTGCAACAGATTCCATCAGTTCTGATTGATACCATGGTAACACGTGTAGTGATACTGAGGAGGTGAACTCAGAAAAATAACGGTTGATTAGGCTAACTTGTAGTAAAGTAGTAAAACCATTAACCATGATCAATATACAGTGTGTGTGTGTGTGTGTGTGGTGTGTGTGTGTGTGTGTGTGTGTGTGTGTGTGTGTGTGTGTGTGTGTGTGTGTGTGTGTGTGTGTTGAACACATCCCGCATCCCACAGCCATCCCAGAATTCCATGCACAACTTTTTCTAGGACACCACCACCTTGTTGCCTAGCAACCTAAACATCCCCAGACACCACCACAGCTCAGTGTGTGTGTGTGTGTGTGTGTGTGTGTGTGTGTGTGTGTGTACACGTGTCTCTGTATGTCTGCATATGAAATATGAACAGCTAGTCAACATGCCTGTGATGAGCCTGTATCTGTTTCATCACTTCATCACATTTCATCACCAAATACCAACTCAGCAGGGTTTAATATCAACATCAACTGAATGGAAAAAAAGGAACACGATCTCTCATGAAAACACACAAGTCAACCAGCCAGCCTATTTTCATTTTTAGCAGAGTGTGTTTGTGATGCATCAAACGTTCATATTTTTTTTAGCAAATCCCAATCGTTGGGCCTACAAGGTTTTGTTTCAAATCAATGACAGTAAGTAGGGCAGACCTGTGCTGCTCTCTCTCTCTCTCTCTCTCTCTCTCTCTCTCTCTCTCTCTCTATTCAATTCAATTCAATATAAGGGCTTTATTGGCATGGGAAACATATGTTTACATTGCCAAAGCAAGTGAAATAGATAATAAATACAAGTGAAATAAACAATAAAAAATGTAAACATTACACTCACAAAAGTTCCAAAAGAATAAAGAAATTTCAAATGTCATTTTATGTCTATATACAGTGTTGTAACGATGTGCAAATAGTTACAGTTTTTTCTGATTGGTTAAGCAAATTTTTTGTAACTATTGGCTATTTTTGCAAAACTCTACACACAAATAAGAAAACCTTTCACCCAATTATCAAAATATTGTAGTTCTCTTGCAAAAGCGAACACAGCTAGATTAACTCTTCTCACCTTCTTAAAAATTGTGTTTTCGTATCAAACAGTAAACACAAGCCATCATCTACTAAGCACACAATGTGCCAACTACACACTGATGGTATGAATACAAAACACATCTGGCTTTTGCTTTCTCTGTGTACAGATGTCAATTTGAGGTCATACTTTTGTCATAGTGTCATGTAAACATACAAGGATCCAAACTTCAAGTATTGGTGTTTATTCACACTCATCAAAACCAAGACAAAGTCAGAACACAAAATAGTAATTTCACAAAAAAAAGAAAAAGAATCAGCCTACATCATGTCGTCTTTCTGGGTCCGGCCACAAAATTTCGTCCACATCGCATGCGATATCCTCCAGTCCAAGGCACCGGGGAAAATATCTCCTTGAATGCCGTATCCAGGCCTGACATGATGCCTGGTCAATATCTCCACATGCCTCCTCCATTGCCTGTAAAAGGGCTACCTGTTGATGAGGATGACGGTCGTACACTTTCCAGCGCCAGGCAGAGAAGAACTCCTCGATGGGATTTAAGAATGGAGAGTATGGAGGGAGGTATCTGTCTCGTTGGGAAATTAAAGGAT